TTGTTACTACTTTCTGACCTGTATCTGGTGTACTATTTACTTTATTGTTGTTACTACTTTCTGACCTGTATCTGGTGTACTATTTACTTTATTGTTGTTACTACTTTCTGACCTGTATCTGATATACTATTTACTTTATTGTTATTACTACTTTTTGACCTGTATCTGGTGTACTATTTACTTTATTGTTGTTACTACTTTCTGACCTGTATCTGGTGTACTATTTACTTTATTGTTATTACTACTTTCTGACCTGTATCTGATGTACTATTTACTTTATTGTTGTTACTACTTTCTGACCTGTATCTAATGTCTTTATTGTTATTACTACTTTCTGACCTGTATCTGGTGTACAAAGTAGTAACAACAATAAAGTAAATACTGCCCTGTATCTGGTGTACTTTATTGTTATTACTACTTTCTATGCTATATCTGATGTACTATTTACTTTATTGTTAGAGCAATAACGCCTGTCATGGCCAGGTGGTTAGAGCTATAAGGCCTGTCATGGCGAGGTGGTTAGAGCAATAAGGCCTGTCATGGCCAGGTGGTTAGAGCTATAAGGCCTGTCATGGCCAGGTAGTTAGAGCAATAAGGCCTGTCATGGCCAGGTGGTTAGACCGATAAGGCCCGTCATGGTCAGGTAGTTAGGACGATCGACTCGCAATCTGCGGGTCGCAGGTTCGAATCCCCGTCCCATCAAACATGCTAACCCTTTCAGCCGTGGATGACTTATAATGGGATGGTCAATCCCACTATTTTTTGGTAAAAAGTAGTCCAAGAGTCACTGCTAAACTAGGGACGGCTAGCGCAGATAGTCCTCGTGTAGCTTTGCGCGAAATTTATAACAAACAAATGTTTACATAATATTTATGATTTTGTATCATACGCTGTTACACGTATTACAGAAGGAAAGATAAATACACATGTATTACTTTTATACGAGAAAGAACCAGTCAGAATAAAGAAAATGAGATCTGTTTATCATGCTGTGATTTCCCGCCACTTTTGTCCTGCTGAGCGATTTATCATGTCTTGGAGAGATAAGATTAAGAGTTGTCAGTATAACTGTGTAGGAATACCTAGACTGTGAGTAGACAGTCAACCTCAAAAAACTATGAATATACTGCACGAGGATGTTTTGATTTGTTCAAAATCCAAGTTACTTATAATAAACATTAATAACAATAATGTGCTCCATCATCTACGGCTGGAGCGTTTCGCTTTTGAAACTATATCGATTTTCAATTCCTTTCTTAAATATGGGGCTGTGCTTCTTGCAAGGGCATCACGGACTACTGTTAGCAGCGACGTCATTGACAAATTACTGTCATTTCACTGTAGAGCTACAATATATAAAAACGTGTATATTTACTATTTTTACCGTTTCCACAATGTGTACAGTTGGTGTGTGTATGTAACGATGAAATGAAAAAATCAGTTTGAACAAAAAGAGGAAACAGTTCATTGACATACTGTAGCTCAGTGATTCCCAACCTGTGGTCCCCGAACCCCCCTGGGGGTTCGCGAAGATAATAACTTCTCATTAAACAAGTAAGTTTTTTAA